AAAAGTTCTTTTTATTCTGGATGCATATTTATCATCCAACTCATGATTAGCAAGTCATTTTACCCACATGTAGCTTTTCTTCTCTTCCTCCTTTCTCCATTCCTTCTTCTCTTCCTCTTCCTCCTCTTTCCTTCCTTCCTTCTATTATTTATTTTGTTCTGTCTTACTGTGCCCAAGGCTAGCCTGCTCCAAACTACTTGTCTCATTGTCTCAGTTTCCCAAGCACTTAGATTGCAGTGTGCACCAATACTTTTCATTCCCACTTGTCCACCTGTCTCAGTTTCCCAAGCACTTAGATTGCAGTGTGCACCAATACTTTTCATTTTCTTACTGTTTATGAAAGTACTCTTCATTTTTATAAAGCCATTTTTTTTCTTTTATGGCTCCTGCTATTGGTATTTGTGGATGGAGTTTCTTTCCTGCCTGGTCCCAAAGCCGTTTGACCCCAAATAAACACACAGAGACTTGTAATAATTATAAACTGTTTGGCAGATAGCTCAGGTTTCTTATTGGCTCTCTTTTAAGTATTTCTATTAATCTTAAGTATTTCTACATGGCCTTATCTTACTGGAGAAGGATCCAACATGTTTCTTCTTTAGCTGCTTCATGGTGTCTCTCTGGCAGCTTCTCTCTGCCTCCTCTTCCCAGAATTCTCCTCCTCTGGTAGCCCCATCTATACTTTCTGCCTGGCTACTGGCCAATCTAGACAGATTCTGTGTAACCAAAGGTCTTAAAATGTTTCTTGCTTTAGCATGCACTGATATAAATGGTCCATTCTTAGTGTTTTGCTTTATGGTATTAGTACAATCATTTGAAAAATATTTTTCTAATTGAGTTGTTTGACTCTTTTATTAAAAATCAATTGATGATCAAACACAAGGTTAATTTCTATGATTAAATCTGTCCATGAATCCAAATGGCTATCCTACCGAAAATTCCACACTATTTTGATATACTGCACTTCCTTTTAGATTTATAACTATCTTGTGTCAAATTTTACAAAATAGTCATCAAATCTTTTAATCCATAGGCATGAATTGCCTCTCTGTTCATGGAAATGTTCTTTAACTACTTTCAACAATGCTTTGTATCTTTTGTTTTACAAGTCTTAAGTTCATTTTCTTAAATTGTGGTCACAGATCTAGATCTGTTTCATTTACTTGGATGGATTTTCTTACATTTTGAATGTTTATTGCTTATTTGCATAAATATGGTTAAGTTTTATATATTGATCTTGTATCCCGTGACTTTACAAGTTTTCTAGTAATTTGCATTGAGTATACATTTGCATATTCTTTAAAATTTCTACACTGAAGATGATGTCACCTATAAATAAAGATGGGTTTATTTCTTTCTTCTTCAACCATATCCACCCACAAAAGAATAAAAAAAAACATGACTGTAAGTCAGTTGGACTAGTCCTTTATTATAGAATTAGAAGATATAGGTGAGGGTTATTTATGGAAATCCAAGAATCAATCAACATTCAAACAGCTCTACTTGATGAAGTTTCTCATACAATCCCAGTACTGCAGTGGGGATTTCTTAACTCAAGCAGAGTATGTGCATTCAGATCTCTTTATTATGGCAGTTTATGGAATAATGTAGATATATAGCAAGCTCTTAACAAAAGAACTAACTGCTTGTGAATGCAAGTAGGGATTGGCACAGTGGTTAGTGAGGCACTGATGGATGAAGAAATGTTTCTTGGTGCTACAAGATGAGAGCAGCAAGGCCCTATCTGGGATTCAGCATTGAAAACTAAGCACAATTCTCCAGGACCAAGACCAAAGTACAATCACAGTTCATGTTCCGAGAGGCCTTGATAGCTACTAAGGAATGTTCAATTACTGATCTTCAGGAGATCCATTGTGGGGAAATACATCAGCACCGAGAAGCAAGGGACAAAGAACTGATAAATACCAGCAAATACTGAGCAACATTAGAGTAACATTTCTAAGAAGTTGTGCCTTTCTAGCACATCATTCCATTTTTTGCAGAAGCATCATCTACATCATCTATTTATACATAGAGCTGATGTATGCCAAGAGTACAAGACAACAAAAGAACACCCCAGTTCTTGAGTTTTTCCACAGATGGTGTTAATGTATATATGCACAGGATTTTTCAGATGAGTTGGTTACAAAAGTTCTACGTCATCCCATTGCTTTCTGAAGTCCTCAATTAGATGACAACACCCAAAGGTAGTCCATAAGTGTAGAGCTTGGTAGCATTTGGCAGTGGTTTTAAATGGTGAGGCCCAGAGTGTCCCAACTACTGCAGGCTGGAAAGTTAGTTCTTGGTGTAGATTTGCCTCTGTTCAAGTAAGCAAGAATATGCTGATATTAAGTAACTATCATAGTACACCTTAAACAAATGTCTCCAAATAACTTACTTGGTTATTCTCCTAAATTGTTAGACTTGGCCATATATATGTTCAAATCTAAAACAGGAACATTAGTGTAGAGACGACTAAGCTTGGGTTGGCAGGCTTAAAGTATGTTGTCAAAGAAGCTGTTCCTCAAAGAAATGTGCCAGTAATTAAGCAGTGTTCAGTTCAAATGATCTTACAATCTGGTTTGCCAATATCCAAGAAGTTCAGCATGTTAGATAAGCAGGTGTCTTTAGTTCTCAACAAAATATATAGGTGCATGGTAGGGTGGTGGATATTCACGTCCAGGAAGATTGGCTTGTATCAGCACTAGAGTCTGATTCATAGGTAGAACAGAATCCAGATTCTGTCTCTCAATGACAAGAATATTGGTAGGATACAATTATGCCACTATGATTGCAAACAAAGAACCTGAACAAACAAGTCATTAAGAAAAAGATCAACAAAGAAGTGAATAAAAGCTTTGTGATCAGTCCCAGGCACACAAGCTATAGGAGTTGGGACATCAGAGTCAACCTAGATTTTATTCATTGGTAGGGATGTAAATCCCAATACATTGTCAGAATTATTTTTTCTGTGTGTGACTCAGGCTGGAGAGACTTCTATCTGCAAACTTTCAGAATTCTTGAAGGAAGTGGCCATAACTATAAAGTTTCTGTTATTGTCTTCATCATTGTTGTTGGGTAAAGTTTTGTGATGGGCTATCTTCCAACTAACAAGCAGTGGTTGTTTAAATTCCTGGAGACATACATGGTCATGCCTGTTTTGAAGATGATGATGTCACAGCAACTCATTTGTATTTTGAAGTTTGTGAAAGTTTATAAATCACTAAGGCCAATGGTGACAGGGGTATGAGTTTACAAAGTGATTTACTATCCTTGTCTTACTAGTGCACTACATTTTTTCTCCTTGCTGGAGTTCGAGAACGTTTAGCAAGGCATTCTCTTGTGAAGTGACCAGCCTGGCTGCAGTAGAGACATAACTGAGTTTCTTGCTGGCGGGCTCTCTTGGCTGGGGTTACAGGCATTTGAGCTCCCTGAAATGGCTTGAGCTCATCCTTGGGTAGTGGTCCCATGAGGCCGAGGAAGGATTGGTGATGGTTTGTGGAAGAGAACATTGGAACCTGAGTTTCTGTCTGTAGGAGTTCTGGCCTGTCTTTGTGCTTTTTGTCCAGTTGAATGCACTGGGTGATCAAATCTGGTAAATTTCCCATTATGTCTGTGATTTCTTCATCATGGGTGGGGTCATCTTGTCTGTTTTGGAACTGGTCACTCTGACTGGTCTCACTATAACTCATATTTTGAGCAAGACCTTGGAAAGTAGGAGCATCCTGCTGAGAGTTGTCTCTACTGTCATTCTTAACATTCATAAGAGGGCTAATTTCTTCCTTCATAGGTTCACCAATTGACTGCTTTAACTCAAGAATAAAGTTTTCATATTGTTTCAATAGATGACTCTGGTTGGACTCTGATACGATGTCACAACTTTGCACCTGCTGGGACAGGTAGTCAAAAAAGTGCTTGACTCGGGTATCATCTGCAGGATTGGAAATCTCCGGAGCTGTCAGATAAGTAGTCCCTTGAGCAAGAAATCCTGTGACACTGGTTGGCTCACCATGAAATTGAGGGAGATTGTCACCTGAGTAGGGTATAGACATCACTGGAGTATTCAGGACAGGCACAACTTGCCCTCTTAAAGTGGGGTTGTCATCAGTTGGATGTTGCATTTGTGGCTGAAGAATCAGACTATCTCCTCTCAAAAAGGAAGTCTCTGGCTTTAAGGTAGGTGGTGATTTTGTGCACTTTTCCATTGTGTCTCCTGGAATTATGTAGAACTGAATAGAAATTCAGTATCAGTATACAAGACCAAGGGACAGGTAGTGGTTTGGTTTGGGATCAGAAAAGACAGTGTCATGTACAAGTAGGAAACAGCTGTTCAATGTCACTAGAGAATGCTGAGAGTTGAGCTGAAGAGATGCCATAAAATATTATCTTCTACTCATCACTGCTTCTTCATGGAGAATATCAGTGTTCTACACATTCAGAAGACACAAATCACCTTGGGACACATAGAAGAGAGGATTTGAATTAAGAAAATATATATCATCGACACAGTAATTTCTCTTCCCTCTCTTTATAAGTATAGACATCAAACTTCATGCCAATCCTTTCTTCTAAAATCCCTTTTATAACCACTGTCAAAAGATTTTAGATTAGAGTTCAAAATAGTATTGGCGGTCACCCAGACCAACAAAATTTGTAATTTCCCTCATTAAAAACAGAGACTCAGGGAAACAAAAATGTTTGTCCAAGGTCACCCAGATAGTTAATATCAGATTTAGTATGCTCATCAGGGCAGCGATCCAAAATAGCACTTCCTCCAGCTATTCATATTCTGCTTGAGATTGATGATACATCATTCAAAACCTGATCTGGGGACAATAGCATTGGGTCTTACCAGAGAGCTTTTTAGGAACACAGAAAACCAAGGCTCATCAAGAGTCCACTGACTAATTTTTCACACTTTCCCAAGATTTCCAATATGGTTAGAATGTGAATTGTGGTTTGAGCATTTCTTTGTTTAAATTGGAATAATCACTGACTGTATTTCACACTCACTACTTTAAGCCTGTATTGCTGTCAGATATCTGAATGCAGTGTTGTTAATCTGTTTTTTTTTCCTAGCATGTCCTTGTCTGAGGTCACATTTTTGTTGCCATGGAAATAATTAGGACATCACTAGTAAGATGAGCACGTAAGATTGAAAACCTCACAAATAAGAACTGGATGTTCTTAAAGGTATGAGGATCAAAATGTTCAATACTACTCCAAGAACTGATAAAAAGAATAAAGTAACCAATAAAAATTAAAATTAATCCCACAAGATATGGCATGTCAGTTAGTTTGAACTATTCTTTACTTCAGTTCCTTTCATTGTCCCTCCTTGTGTAGCAAACAAATTATATGTACTTAAATTGGCTACCAGGGGGCAAAAAGTATATCACTGAATCTTTCAAACAGTCAGTCTCTCAATGGCTAGGCCATAGACCTGGGAAAAACCAAATACTATTGTTATGCTGTAGGGACATAGCAACAAAATGACTCCTAATACATTCTGCTATATCCATAGATCAGAGCCTTGATCAGCCATCATTAGAGAAGCTTCTTCTTGCAGCAGATGGGAACTAATACAGACCCATAACTGGACCATATACAGATACTGAGAGACCTTGAGATGTCGGTCCTAAATGGGATGACTTCATCAACTTCTCTTCACCCAGGGTTTATGAAGCTATGTAAAAAAAGGAGGCATAAAGATTGTAAGAGCCAGCGGGGGATGGTGGGCACCAAGGAAACCTTGTCTTCCAGCACAACAGGACCGATGAATACATGAACTCATAGAGACCGTGGCAGCATCCACAGGGCCTGCACAAGTTCAAGCCAGTTGGGGCCCCAGTGATGGGAAGGGAAAGTGGATACCTGATCCAATATGTAACCAAGAAGCTATCTTCAACTGACATCCACTTGAAAAGAAATAATTAGTTTTCTTCAATGGAGTCTCATTGGGTACATTAACCACACTTAAGGGTGGGCCCACGCCCAGCAGTGGATGGCCAATGCAAAAATGATCTTGGTGGTATTGTTATAGATTGTTTTGTCTCATGTTGCATTGTTTGAGTATTTTTTTTGTCTTACAGACATTTTGCTTGCATATTAGGACTTCCCATTTTATGCTTTCGGTGTATGTTTCTTGTGGATTTTTCTTTGTTTGTTCCCTCTGGTTTGTTTATTTGTTTTTGTTTGCCTGTTTCATTTCTAAAGTGAGAAATAAAAGGAGTGAATCTGTGGAGGATTGAGGGAAAGTTGTGTTAATTTTATATATCAGAGAAATATCTGCAATCTATGTATTTGATGCACTTGAGAGTACAAGGCAGAAGGGATAAAAGTTTGTAGCAAGATATAGGCTGGTGAGAGCTACAAAGTGAGATGTTATCAATAATAAGCAAGTAAACAAGACTTGTTTTCATAGGCTTCACTGAACATTCCTACTCCCTAGACCAACGGAAAGTGTAAGACTGAACCAGGGTAAAATTGGAGTCTAGAAACTCTGTGGCAAACACTAGT